TAATAATAATAATAATAATAATAATAATAATAATAATAATAATAATAATAATAATAATAATAATAATAATAATAATGCTGCATTTGTTATAAAAAAAAAAAAGAAGCAAAATGGTTTGATAGGGATGCAACCCCTATCAAAATAAATAAAGCCTCGCTCCATATTTCATAAAAAAATTAAGAAAAAAATTATGAAAGCCTCTACATTGAGGATGAAGTTTCTATATAGCCTAGGCTTTATGAAAAAACAATAAAACCTCACCACATATCCTCGTCCGGAAAGCACTTTTGGCAGCATAAATCTCCATGATGGCTGTAAAATCAATTTCCAATACCGACAAAAATTTGACAGTAAAAAAATGGTAGAGATATTGCAGATCTATGACCACTTATTTCTTGGGCGAAATGGATGATCTAGATAATCTCTTACAATATACACTATTTTTAGAGTATGAAATTCTTTTTTTTTTCACAACCATATTGTTCAAGTCAATATAATTGATGTAAAGGTTTTCTAATGCTTGAATTGCAATTTTTGATGATTTTTAAAGTGAGGATTTACTTGTTTTGAGAGGGCTGCAGCCCTATCAAACTATTTTCCTTACATCGTTCATCCAAGGTTGACCATTATGATTATGGAAAAAAATTAGGATTTTGATCTCTAAAAATCGTGTACATGGTAACTAATTATCTAGACCATCCATCTCACCCTAAAAGTAAGTGTTCATAGATCAGCAAGATTTGTCTCATTTTCCGAGTTCCAAATTTTATTTTCCAGTATTGGAAATTGGTTTTAGATCCATCACAGAGATCTCTATTACTGAAAGTACTTTCGGACAAGGATTTGAGATGAGGCTTTATTTTGTTTTCATAAAGCCTAGGCCTAATAGAAACTTCTTCCATAAAAAGAATGTCACAAGTTTCTTTTCCTTAAAATATCTAGTGATATTTACATGGATCCTAGAGGGAGTTGATGCATTGCATGGTAGAACATGCCATACGCTGATTTTATGACCATGACATGTCTAAGATACGCACAAAAAAAACTCAAAAATTCAGTGGCTCTCCAGAATGAAGTGAACCATGAAAGAAAAGAAGTAGAAATATGAAAAGGAAGGCGAGTTACAAGAAACAGAACCTACTGGATAAGCAAAAGGTCCGACGAAGCTGATTGGTTGCCTCACCATTCATCTTCATGCTTACGTGTAAGTGATTTCAAATGAATCAAATATCCCAAGCATAAAACTGACAGCATCCTGTGAACAGAAGAATTCATCTCATCTTGTAATATAAATTTACATGCCATGTGGGTAGCCATTAATTGCACGAATGAAGATGTTCAATCTTGATCATATCAGTTAGGCATGGCAAGAAGAAGCATCGCATAGTAGGAGAATAGGAGTAGATAGAAATCTTGGTGGCCCTTCAGAAAGTGTATCTTGTTCCCATGGTTGCTGCTCCCTCAAGGTTTGGATCTTGCCAATACTTTGGCCAATATAGTCCAGGGAAATTCAGCCAGAAATTTAGTGCTCAGCTTAATCCTGGTCCATTCAACACTACACCAATGAGAATATGCCGGGAAGTACACTACAATCAAAATGTTCATGTGAAACTGTAGCCTGTTGAGGTCATCTCTAACCCAAAGAAATAATGGGATGCTGATAACCGGAGAGTGGGACAGACCCAAAGCAAGACATGCACCCGATGTTCAACCCACTCTCTCTCCACCTTCCATTTGATTGGAAGACAAAGAACACGTTGACATACAGTTTTACATATTCCATTCCCTGTATTGATCTGTTGCTGAGGAACGCCCCATCTTCTTTCATTGCTCGAATTGAATTTTCAGAAGCCAATGCACCTCTCACTAACCATTACGACCCAGTTGCTGAAGCTTTGCAAGAAAAGAATCAGATTAGAAAAAAAAAGGACAAAAATAGGAGTGTCAAGAAGCTATTTCCTGTGCTTACTACTCCCCACCCTTGAACCTTCAACCACTGAGCCCTCAACTGCAGCTATAATATGTGCTTCCTGTTTGTGACCCCACTGATGCGCTAACTTTCCTGATTATTTGCTGCTTCAGCACTCCACGCTCTGCACTGGACAGATTCTTACACTTATCCAACCCCTTAACAAAATTCACAATAATATCCTTAATTTTGGAGTTGTTCTTATCGAGTGCTATTTTCTCAATGACATGAAGGGAGAAGATTTTATCAATGCATGCCTTGCTGCCGACCTCAACAAGATCTTGAAGGCATAATAAGCTAACCTCCTTTGTCTTAATTGATTTGCTATCGAGAGAATGAACCAACTTCTCAATTTGGCCAGTCCGAAGGATTCGATTAAGAAGAAGAGGCCCACCCTCCCCAAAAAGCATCTCGTGCACTGAAGTGTATGCTGAGTCTTGCAAATCTTTCATGTTACAATGCATCATCTTAATCAAAGCCTGAATTGTGTCATAATCGAGCATCTTACAAATGCAAGGTGCACCACCAAAGCAAGAGAGTTTCATGAGCAAAAAGGCGCTCTCTGATCTCATCCCATCAGGATTCCCATATTGTAAAAGGGACACTAACTTCCCTATCAAAGGACTTTGGAGACATTGGGACATTTCTATCCAAGAGAGTAAACTTCTCTAAGCTAAGCCTAGCTTGCCATGGCAAAAGGTTCAAAGTCCCAGGTCTAAGACAATCGCTAGCATGGGTTCCACCCAGCTCGTAAAATGACTTCAAGGCAACCATGGCATGATGTTGGGTAACCTCAGAACCGCTTTCAAGAAGTTTGATAAGCTTCTTATCAATGCCTGAGGCAAACATCCTCTCCACTTTGACTTGCCTGCCTTAGCCAAGGACATTAGTGTAGTAAATAAGCTATCATGCCCCTCTTCTGCATCAGGATCAAGCAATTGTGCGAGCTTGTTCATGGGTATCTTAAGTAACACTTCATTTACTGTTTTTTGGCTTCCATACTCTGCAAGCTTTGCCAAGACACCCGATACATCAGTTTGGATAACTGGGTTGTCACAGTTTTCCAAGAGATTGGCAAGCTTATCAATCGCACTGACATCTTCAAGAGATTGATGGTATTGGCAATAATCATCCCTGCTAAATATGTTCACCATGCACCTAGCAGCTGATGCTCTGATATATGGAGAACCAATCGATATTAGTTCCACTATTCTTGGTCCAATTATACTTCTAAAGCTAGCGCTGCTTGCTTCCAAGTCAGAGACAGATTTACTAGCCATAAGAGCATTGACTATGGCTTCTAAAGTAACGACTCCCAACCTTTCCTGTGATATACTGAGGAAACTCATCAGTTTCTCTTCTGCTGCTATCTTCACCTTCTCTTTCCCAGAGGAAAAAAGCCATGGGGCAACTGATGCTGCACTTTCTGAACTAGATTGGGTTAAAAGAATGTTAACTGCTTCATCTACTTTGCTATCAAAATAAAGAGAAACCATGTCATGTACATAGTACATTGGATTTGAATCATCTTTGATCAATAGAGAGCCTTCAACAAGCTTACAGACCACCAGAGAGAATACACTACCTTGACCTAGAGAGTACCAAAGAGCTTCAAGACAGGCCTCAGGGGCTGGTTCTGCCAAATAAACAGCTGCAAGTGCAATAAAAAGTCTTTTGGAGTGTGCAGGCATGGCTTCCAAACTAAATTCAAACGATCCAAATACAGGAACATTTTCTGCCTCTTTCTCATTCACATAAGAAACAGGGCCCGGTGCACATGTTGCATAAGTGGAAAGATTGTTTATGGCATTTTCCCACTTCTTTGGCCTGGTCTCTTTCCTTAGAGCCTTCCCCATGACTGCAATCGTAAGAGGGTGGTGGCCACAACGTTCAAGCAAGCGCTCCCCAAGATCCTACAAACAGGCAGTTACTTCAGCAATCTGATTAGAGACAAAATAGTGAATTAAAATTGCCCTACATTTTGTGAAGAGCCCATGGTGCATGATAGTGTAGCAAAGGAACTTGTTATGACTAAAAAACTGAGTCAAAGGCCACTGATAAGGAGCAACACTGAAATTTTTTCTCATAAAGCATACATAATATGATTAACCTAAAGAGGATATAAAGTTTCTTCATGGGAGCTCTATTTCAAGTTTCAACCACCTCAGTCATGTGTATTTAAACATGCCACTTCCTGCAATCGATTCTTGTTCACGTCAACAACAGTCATAATGGTGATTCCACACAGCATCATAACTATATTGATTCCATATTCTAATGAAATCCTGAACTCAAGCAACAAAACCAATTTTCATTTATACTTCGATAGAGAACCCATTATTACCCATAGTTATAGAATACATTATTTATGAGAAATCAGTGGAATTTGTGTTTCCCCTTTTCTACTAAATGTTTTGCAGGAAAGAGCACCAAGCAATGGGTTTCTCATGGTGATGTCAAGTTGCACGAGAGCACCATATATAACATGGTCTTGAATAAAAAATCACTCGGATGGTATATCATCGATTGCTTAAAACAAAGCTCGGCTAAGTCTCTTAAAGCTAAAGAAACCTAAAAAAGTCTACAAATTTCTCCTCGATGTAGGACCAAGGGGTTGGTTATACATGAGAGTGAAACACATAAGATGGGCTAGGAAGGATTGATTGGGTTTGGATTGTGAGTTCTAAATTAAGACAGGAATTATGTGCCGTAAAGGTTTGTAAGTCCCTTAAAGATTATAACAGCAGAATTTTTTCCATAAGATGGTCTCCTAATTTGGGTAGGATCAAATAATATCAGGTCAAAATAAAGTTCAACAAGGTTTAGGGCTATGGAGAAGGGGTAGGTTCCATTGGGGTTCTTTCGGTAGGTTTCAGGGTTTCTAAAGGGTTTAAAGCATGCTGGAATTTCTTAGTCCAACAAGGTATAAGAGCAGTAAAATCGATTTTAGGGTTGAGTAAGGGAAAATCTAACGTTTGGGGTTACAGGGGTATGGGTGATGGGTTTCGGGAGGTGTTGGCTAGTTAACTAAGGTTCTAGATTGTCCATTTAGAAGAGTACAAGAAGGGTGATGAATTTGGTTGCGCAAAAATCTTGATTAGCCGATGTGCCACACAAGCGGGAAAGAAAAAAGGGCCCAAACTTATGTGGGGAGAACCCCCAAGCCTTAAGTTTTGCTTGCAGGGAATAAATCCACCAGAAGAAACAAATGGACTCTAACCTTAAGTAGAGACACTTGCAGCCCTAGGTTAGAGCTGTAGAACCACTTTTTGAAAATTACCCTTTCTACAAAATGAGTTGAGTTGTCTCTACTTTAAAGTTGGCCTCCCACCACAATTAAAACACAAATTTTATCACTCGAATTGATTTGGACATAACCTACATGGGTATTTAGAGAGAGGTAAAAACCCCTCTTTGTTTGACTAAGCTTTGAACTCAAGCTATCTATACTTTCTTGAAGTTTCTAATCTTGTAGATTCTTTCAAAATTAGGTACATAGTTCCTTTATAGTTTTAGAGGAATTGGACTCCTAAAAAACATGGAAAGAGCTAGATTCTTAAACAAGATAGTAAACTATCTTCTAATTTCAGATTTGGAAAAGAATAACAACTTGCCAAAAACTGTAAAGGAGTTTAACCTACCAAAATTAAACCTAAACCTAATTAATAGTAAATTAGTTCATATACTATGCTTAGGGCAATACCGTAAACTTGCTCTGTTAGGTGAAAGACCTACTTGGGAGGACTTTTTTTCAATCTGAAATTTTGGGATCCACCTAAAAATCACTATACATTGAGATGGATGAGTGGTAAGACAAGAAGTGATAGAACTCGAAATGAATACATTTAGAAGAATTTAGGTGTGGCACTAATAGGCGATAAGATAAGAGAAAGTAGAATTAGGTGGGCTGGCCATGTGCAGCGCAGACTTAGCACAACACCGTTTAAGAGTTGTAAGTTTGTTCGAGTAGAAAGCTAAAAAAGCGTAAAGGGTAGACATAAAAGGACTTTGGTTAGAAGTAGTAAGAAAAGATACGAAGACTTATGGCCTCACTGAGGGTATGGCCCTTGACAGAACAGAATGGTGGATTAGCTTTTCTGTAGTTGATCCCACTTAGTTGGAAAAAGACTCCGGCAAAGATGATGACCAAAGAATCACTATACAATAGTTTCATAAAATAAGTTTGGATTTTGAGTTCTTCATCACATAGATCTCACCCTCCAAAAATTGGACTGCCAATTGAAAACGGCACATACAGAGTGTGGTCTGAAAATGTCTTTGTCTATTTTTTTTTTTGTGAAGGTTAGTTAAGAAGTTATATCCCCAAAATTTGGGTCCTAAGAGTACTTCTAGATTAGGTTTTACTTGAGAGAGTAAATGGACAAGATGCTCCCGTGGTGGCATCTTTTGGCATACTAAAATTTTTGACTGAATTCTTTAACATGCTTCAACCATGATTTGGATGGCAACACTCCAGAATTGGGAAATATATATAGAGAAAATGCTGTGTGGAGCTCAAAGAGATCTATGATTTGAGCATTGGATCCCCATAAGAGGAGATATGAGGGAAAGGCTCCTCCAAAAGCTGGCTACATACTCGCTTATTTGAGGCACTTTGGGCCCAAAATCCAACTCAATGGCTTTGTGGATGAAGAATTACATTCTCAAATCACGAAACATTTGTGAGATAGGATATAGAACAAGATATCAACAATAATATGAAAGTTTTCATTGGTGCTTTGGGACATTTAAACCCACTTCATGCTTTTACAAGTAAGATTGGTGCTCCACAATATCCCTTTTTAATTTTGTTTAGTAAAGAATATTTTGCAAATTATGTCTCATAAAAATTTGCAAATCATATTTCATAAGAGAAAAGTATCTGAATATTCAAGTTGAGCTAACCGTGAAGCCTGTAAATAAGGGTGAGCTACATGTGGTGCAAATCTTCACAAACTGTTGAAGGCGCAGAGGGCTACAAAACACAATTGCCAGAATAGAGAAATGAAGTTCAGATTGTCATGGCTGGACAACCGCGTTAGATCATAGTATATCACATGTTAAAGTTTGGTTCACAAGATGATTTGGTCTAATAATCCCCTCATCAATAACAGCATTTCCCATGTTACTTAGCTTTCCGTTTCAATGCATCAAGATCTGCCAAGAACTGGTGCATCACACAAAGTCCAGCACTTGGGATGTAGTAGTATGAGTGTCATGGATATCATGTTATATTGTCATTTATATTTCAAGTACCAATCCTACCATAAGTAGCTTATACAATAAATACCACCATATGTAGATAATAACATTGCTATCCAGATTGCATCAATGCATCCAATTAGTTTTCATAAGGGTCCATGCAGGAATCTGTTATCCCTTCAACTAATCTCTAACCTTCAAAGAAACCATATTCCGCAATAAAAGAGGAACCAAACAAGAGTCATAAATTATTCTAGATGCTTGCTATTGAAGAGCCTAGTGTTTATTGGTCAAAAATGAAAAGTATAACAATACACACAAGTCACAACGGACACAGCTGGAAGAAATGCAAATATGACGTGCCATGTTTTCCCTTGACAAACTTAATGAATGTTCCATGTATAGCATGAAGATCAAAATGCAATATTATTTTGGACCACATAGAATAAATCATATGTACCATAATCAGTCCCAACAATCACAATCACAATCACATCCTCAAATGTGTATACACTACAAAATGCCCATGATCCTTGCCAACAAACAGCCCCGCGAACAAAAACAAAATATATCATTTTAGTCATTGACTAACACTCACCGAAAAAAAAATTTGATTAACATGTAGAAACAACAAAAGAATACTCAGCATACCGGTAGCTCTTCTTCTGTAAGAAGGGTGTGATGTAGAAGAATAGCCTTGCTTATTTCTCTCAGATCATCTTTGCTTATTTCTACCTTCTCAGCTTCAGTAATCTCATAAACAGCTTCATTTCTAGTAGTAACTAAGTATTTGCAATCATTGCCATGCAATTTGGCGAAACGGCCTACTATATCTTGCTCCCAAACATCATCTAGAAATACCAAAATGCTCTTCCCAACCAAAGTTTCTTGGAGCAAGGCACATACGGCATCTAGGTCCCCATTAGTCTCTTGCAAAATCTTCTTATCACAACCAATTTGAACCAAGAACCTGGAAATTTCCTTGGCCAAACGCTCCCTATACTTGGAATTACTCCCATCACAAGCTGTTCTACTACACCATTGCCCGAGGCTTAGCTCAATAGCTCCATGAATGAACCTCTTTGGTGGATTAGAGGCCACCTGTCTAGCCAAACAAGACTTTCCAATTCCTGATAACCCCACAATAAGAACAACTTTATGAGATTTCTTTTGCACCAATAAACTCTTCACATATCGACTATTTTTGAAATTGGGTATCCCTTATCAGAGCTAGTCTTGAACAGTAGGGGCACACTCTTGGCGTTGGAATCAATGGCTCTCTCAATGTCTTCTGTTAAGTGCTGCAATTCAAGCCAATGGTTCAGGTCTTGCCTAATTGAAAAAATCGATTTAGAGAGAGGATCACCAACCATTGAATCCCAAACTACAGATGCCCAATTCTTAACTGTGCTCTGTGACACAATCTTCTTCACTTTCCTGACATTGGGTTGTAATCTTTCGATCAAGGAGTGAAGGCTATGAATCTGGTTTTCTAATTGGGGATTATGGACCTTTTGAGCATGTCTTTGCTTGACTCTCCCAACCAAATTTTCGAGCTCAAGCATGAACTCTTCGAGGCTTCTGATCTTACCAGGAGCTGCATCGAGGTTTCTCGAGGCTTGCTCCAGAGCGCCCACCGCACCAATCATGCCAGAAACAATCTGAGTAGCAGAGGAAACAATTTGCTGGGCATCCATTCTCTATTTATCCCAACCTCTTATTCGACCAAAACCAGGGATCAAAATGAATTCCCAGCCAAAACAAAAAACTGATTCTTCAAATTAGGTGGCCAAATGAAAACCTGCACCGAAAAAGCATCATCAAATCAAAGATTGGAAACCATAAAAACCACTATCTGGACTGCAAAAAACAAGAACCCAACAGATCTTTTTCATTGAAATTATGGGGGTTGGGCGACTTCCCTAATCTACTCTACTGTAGCTTAAACACACCACCATAGAGAGTTGAAGACTTAAACAAATAATGAAGAGCATCCAAGAATAAACTGAATGAAGTTAGAAGTTAGAAACTGACCTTCTCACCGAATGAAATCAAAGCTTGGGTATAACGGGTCAAAGCACCACAGCGGAGTGAGGAGGAAGTGCAAAATGCAATTCATCCAGCAAGGACACTGTAAATGAGAAAATATTTAAACTTTTGCTGTTGTTTTCTTGACAGGTGAATTTCCTTGAGGGAGGCCAAAGCCTTTTAGTCAACAAGTTATAAAAGTTGGCGTTTTGGTTTCATACCTTTGACTTGTATGGTCTCATGACCTTCGCCACTGGTTTTTAACAAACGGAGCAGGCCCACGAGCACTCTCTCTCATTAAGGGAGCAGGCCCACAAACATTCTCTCTCTTGAGCCTGTCTTTCACATCCTATCCTCTCTCTCGGGAGCAGGCCCCACAACAAATCTCTCTCTCTCCAGATAATGGTCCACAAAACTCTCTTTCCAGCCATGATCGTTTATCTTCCATTGCATTTCACTTGCATTGGATCTCTTTTTCTCGAGACAATGACCCCTTTTATCTTTCTCATTTGTTTTTGACCTTTTTTTCCCCTCAAAGATAGTGATTCCCATGCATCTCTGACCCATAGATATAAGTGTTAGACGATTTATGCGCCCGTGGTAGCATTTCAACTATTTACTCCATATAATTGCATCCAATTTAGAAGTGTTTTAAGCTCAAGAATTATGGGTATAATCCCTATAGAAAATCAAACTCCACCCAGTATATGTGAGGAAAAATAACATTAGTGATCATCCAATTTTTGGATGGTCTTATTTGAAGTAGACACCTCTGGTGAGTCTTGGGTGTATAGCTGTCGGAAATATTAGGTGTGGGTGAGACTAGGGCTTTCAACTTTGTTGGAGACATTTGAAATCAAATTGAAGATAGATTTTCTTGTTTATCAATACGTTATTTTAAGATAATATTTGCCCCTTGGTAATAATTAAGTATATATTTAATGTGTGGGAATGACAAAATTTAAAAACACCAGAATTGCCTTTCATTTAGAAAAAAGAAGTTTTTGAAGAAGAGCAAACGTGTAAAAGGTTGTACTTTGGGTGTGAAAACGAGTCCCATTTATAGAAATTGTTCATCTTTGGTGTTTCAAAAACGGCATATCCTTTTTTTGTTTTTCTTAACCCAATTACAACCGTTTGTAATTGGTCTCCTAACAGCTATGATTGTTCGTATTGAGGCATTGCACACCAAGTGTCTGACACACGAGTCGGCCAACACGTGTATGCGTCTCCCCACAACCACTAAGCAACAAAGAGCTTAGTTGCGCGACATCCAACACGACACCAATCGCCCATGCTTACTGTGTCGCATCTCTCATATCTTATCGCAAAGTGGGGTAGCGATTTCATGCAATGGTTGTATCATAGTATAATGCAACTACACTGGTCGGGGTGCTTGGGTTCGCGCTCGCATTCCCCCTCTCGAACAACTACGTGACCTCACGAGTGTCGCGCTCGCATGTCTCTCGTGGTATCACTTGTGTGTTGATAGGCAGGTCCAACTCTGTGAGAGGATTTTAAAGAATGAAGAGCATACCTCACCGTGGTTGGCATCGTGGGAATAGCCCAGGCAAAGGAGCCCTCTTAGATCACTTCACGAAAGCCCTCCGGCTGTCTGCCATCGTGGTTTGGTGGCAAATCCCTTTCAAACATCAATAATTCATCTCAACTCTTTCTCATAAACTACTATGGGAATTCAGGTAAAAATGCTCCTCGTTCAATAGGTTTGATGAGTGAATAGCTCTGGTATGATTTAGGAAGAGGAATAGTTCTTAACCCAATTACAACCATTTGTAATTGGTCTCCTAGCAGCTATAATTGTTCGTATTGAGGCATTGCACACCAAGTGTCTGACACACGAGTCGGCCAACACGTGTATGCGTCTCCCCACAACCACTAAGCAACAAAGAGCTTAGTTGCGCGACATCCAACACGACACCAATCGCCCATGCTTACTGTGTCGCAACTCTCATATCTTATAGCAAAGTGGGGTAGCGATTTCATGCAATGGTTGTATCATAGTATAATGCAACTACATTGGTCGGGGTGCTTGGGTTCGCGCTCGCATTCCCCCTCTCGAACAACTACGTGACCTCACGAGTGTCGCGCTCGCATGTCTCTCGTGGTATCACTTGTGTGTTGATAGGCAGGTCCAACTCTGTGAGAGGATTTTAAAGAATGAAGAGCCTAACTCACCGTGGTTGGCATCGTGGGAATAGCCCAGGCAAAAGAGCCCTCTTAGATCACTTCACGAAAGCCCTCCAGCTGTCTGCCATCGTGGTTTGGTGGCAAATCCCTTTCAAACATCAGTAATTCATCTCAACTCTTTCTCATAAACTACTATGGGAATTCAGGTAAAAATGCTCGTCGTTCAATAGGTTTGATGAGTGAATAGCTCTGGTATGATTTAGGAAGAGGAAGGGAGAAAAGTCCTCTCACTACTTGAATACCTTGTAATGAGGCTTTGAGACAGCGAGAATATCAAAATTCTAGAGAAAACTAACTCAGGATGACTACAATTCGAGTAAAAGCTGCTAGAGAAACAATGTCTCTTGCGACCTCAATTTACTTTACGAGAAGGTAGTTAGAGCAATAACCCCAAAATTAAGCTTCTAAAACACTATCCTTTGACCCCCTGGATCGCCTGTTTCAAGTGATGAGAAAGATGATTAACAAAAGAAAAGGGAAATGTGCATGGCAAAGCGCAAGTGGACAGATGCGCGTCAAGGCACGGGATGACAGGTGCGCATCAAGGCGCGGGAACACAAGTGCGCGTCAAAGCGTGGGAAGACGAGAGCACGACAAGGTGCGGGAGGATAGGTGCGCATCAAGGAGGGGCAAGACAGGTCCACGTCCAAGTGCGGGAGGATGAGTGCACGTCAAAGAGCGGGAGGACCAGTGCTCGTCAAGGCCGGGGAAGACGGGTGCGCGTCAAAGCACAGGAGGACTGGTGCGCATCAAGGTGCGGGAGGACAGGTGCGCTTCAAAGCACAAGAGGATGGGCGTGCATCAAAGCGCGGGAAGACAAGGTGCGCGTCAACCGAGAGGATGGGCGTGCGTCGAAGCGTGGATGGGTGCACGTCAAAGTGCGAAAGGCTGGGCGTGCATCAAAGTGCAGGAGGACAGGGTGTGCATCAAAGCGCGGAAAGAAGTAGAGAAGGAGTAGGACCTGCCCAAGGTGCAGGTCGAGAGTCCTAGCGATAAGGGATGAGAAAGGAAGGGAGGTGAGAGAAGGAAGAGAGGAGAGAGAGTAGACTTATGGTACGTGTGTGCCTATGTGTACCTTCGTGAGTCCTCTTTGAAGCATGTGAGAGAGAAGGTTTGAGTTTGGGTTGAGTGTGGTGTACGGGTTGGGTGTGGGTGGTGTACGGAATGGGCTATGGTGTATGGTGGTTTCGGGGTATATATCTCTCTAGGAAAATGTTTCTCTCTCCTCTCTCGTTGGTCTCAAACTCACAAGCAAAGAAAACATAGCAAATAAGTTAAGCATTCTGAATGCTTCAAAAATTAGACCAACCATCTAATTTCCAACTTTCATTCTTTTATAACCAACCAACCTCTTTTTACAAGTGACATGGGTTTCCCTATATAGGGCAACCATTAAAAAAGGGTGGAATGCTCAAAAGTATCCCAAATTGTCAAAAAATACATATTTCATAATGAATATAATCATCTCGAAATTGGATCAAATGACCAAACTTCCCTAAGCACTTTTGATTAAATGACAAAACCATCCCTCCATAAGGGACCTCTTGCCATGGCTATTGTTCGGTAGTTTTTTCGGACACCTACGATGGTAATTCGGACGATCAAACATTGTAGAATTGATGCTTGCATTCTTGTGAATGTTTTGATATCCTTTAATTGCCTTGTAACAGATTTTTGAGGAAAAACCCAAAATTTGATCTAGTTCATGAACTCTGCAAATCTTTAACCATCAATGTAGTTTGATTCGTGATATTCCAAGTCTTCATTTTTTACACAAATTTTAGAAGACACTGTCACAATCATTTTGCAGTAATTTTCATCCATTTTGGTCTAGAATTAAGCTCTTTCCAATTTTGGGAGGTTACTGGAAAATGGGTTTTCGACTACCAAAAAATTGCGCCTTTCTTCAACCACAAAATTTGCATCATCCGGCTTTCAATTGTGTATAAGACTTGTACCAAACTGTAGCTCATCAACATACGATCGCAACATATCCATTTTTGTGATGATCCTTCATTGGAATCTTAAGCTATGGCCTTCCAAAGAATCAGATGTTTTCTTATGAATTCGTACAATTTTTAGCACATATTCTCTCTAGAAATTCTCTCTCTTTAGGTCACGATAAGATGCGTGCCTTATGTCAAAATGATCGGGCCGTCAAGATCTAGCTCATGTCCAAATTTTAGCTTGATCAGACTAAAAACAAGTTAGATAGGATCATTTGAAAATTCACCCGAAATGAGTAGACACAGTTTTCATAAATAGAAATTGGTTCGCTGAGGCCGCATCGCTATAGTATAAAACCTACACCGTAATTTAGGCTTATAATGCTCCCTGAGGGTCTAATTGAGCTGAAATTTGGAACCTGGGGTTTTTTTGAACATTCCAGATTTAATAGCAGTAGTCTGGTACTGTTTTGAAACCCATAAAATATGATTGTAGTTATAGGGTCTACTTTAAACATGATTGGGGCTAGTCTTGAAAACTGAGTTTCATTCTGATCATATCAAAACTTATTAGAATGTGACGAAACTTTGCCAGTGTCCTTAGGATACCCCAAACTACCATATTCATGCATTTTGAAGCCGTTCCAATACTTCTTTAAAGGTCGCTCAGTTTCAAACTAATTTTGCACTATTAATGTGTTCTGGTGGTGTTTTAGGTACCGATAGAACCAGGTTGTTACTGACTCTCTCCTTATTCGTCCCGAGGATACAAGTAAATAAAAAATACCGAAGGCTAATCTTTGAGAAAAGTGAGAAGTGCAGCATTCGAAACAAAATTTTGTT